TTTTGTGTTTAAGATCCTGTGTTATAAAAATATTTTTAATTAGGCAGTAGTTATGTATTTTTCCCACCTAATATTGCTAAATTTTAACAGGCTTTAAAAATTCACATTTTTGTAATTGCTTAAAGTTTTCTGCTATTTCAAAAAATGTTTAGTTTTCTACGTGAATACATAATCAATGCACAGGCTATGTATTTGAAATATCCAAATGAAAATACTGTGAAAAGCAAGTTTCTATTTCAGTCCTCCATCAAGAAAGTATCCAATTTTAAAGTGGCCTTAAACCTCTTATTCCAAAGGTCATTTAAACTTATGTAATAATTTGGGGGAAAGAACACAAAATATACAAGAAATAATTACTACTACAAAGTTAAAAGTAAGTGGTATTGTAAGAACTCTCAGAAGTTTGTAAAGAAGCCATTTACTGAATCACTCGTTAAAGGAAACCAGCAAAAGACTTATACTATGTAATGACAACTTTTTATGTACACCAGGCTAATAGTTTTTGCCTTAGAAATGGAAAAATTCAGGATTCTCCTTCTTTCCTATAAGGATGACGAGAAAACATCTAGTCACTTGGGCTCCAAGCGAAAAGCCCAATCTCGTGTCTAATTTTTCCCCTTTTTTTCTTTAAAGACTATATGTCAGGATTCATAGCAAGAGCAATAGAGACAATAGCATTTCCTTTTCTTTTATTAAGATTCTCCTTCTGATAACTATATAGAGGAAGAGGAGAATTTTGCATCCAAGAAAACCTGAAGGAACTTAGATAATGATTTGGATCTTCTGATGAATTCAGTGAGCCTGCTCTCCCCCCCTCCCCATACACACAGTACAACGTTTTTTTCCCATACAATTCTGGGAGATTCAAAGAATCATAAATCTATTAGGTAAGAATAAAAGAACTAGATATGAGGAATAAACACAAGAAAGGGAGTGGAAACTACCAGCAAAATCAGTGAAGAAAGATACCTACTAGCAGGGTTTTTTTGCTTTGAAAGATGAATTAAATGATCACCTACTTAAATCTAGTGTTTATTTACATATAA